GGACTGCAACCGACAGTTCCTCCGACAAGGTGTTCAGTCTCGTTTTGATTCTCGGGCAGCGAGTACGCGCCCAGAGTCTCCTTAAGGCCCTTTTTCTCTTGATCTGCACGCAGATGTTATGCGGCAGATCATCCCTTCTGGAGGACATCGGGACGATCGTAGAGGCAGCGTTGAGGGCCTCCTGTATCGCCTTTGTCATGTTTGTGGCTGCGGCCTCTACGTCGTCCGCTGTGTTTAAGGGGTGGTGTGCTGGAGGTCTCTCCTGCAGGTGTTTGTGGTAGAGCCTCCAGTCGACACGTGTCTTCACTGTTCTGGGCGGCGTAGTCACCGCCTTTAGGCCAAGGGTAATTAAGATCGGGAGGTGCTGTGATTCCAGGTCGTACAGCACCTCTACCACTATCGGGTAGTTGATGTTCCTAGCGAGCACGATGTCCAGTACATCCGGACGACTTCGTGGATCCGTAGGAATATGAGTCGGTTCTTCAGGACCTAAAACGTCATAGCCGTGTCTTTCGGCATCTTCAAATAGAGCATGACCCGGCGGGTTGATCAGTCTAGACCCCCACGCCGGGTGTTTGGCGTTTAGGTCCCCGGCGATGATGGTCGGTGTTTCGCCTTCCATTACCGTCCGGACGTCTGAGGAGCAAAATGGAGTCCCTGGCGGGCGGTATGCTGCAAAGATCCTAAGTTCCTCGCCCGCCGCCTCCATTTTTATGCCGATAGAGCGCATAGTCTGGTATTCCGGTAGGTCTAGTTCTTGATGGACGATGTCCCTTCTCACTAGGACCGCTGTCCCTCTGTAAGCGGCCCCTTGAGAAGTGACCTCGTCCCTCCTATACAGATGGTAGTTGGGCAGCCTTATGCGTGTGCTCGGATTTAACTTCGTCTCTCCCAGCAAGATGACATGTACGTCTTGTTGTTGGGCGACGGTGCGGAGTTCTTGTAACTTCTGCTGGATTCCACCAGGGTTCCAGTAGAGGAGGCGCAGGTTAGACTCCTCCACTGTAGTGCCGAGCCAGTAGATTAGCCAGCGCCTTCATAACCGCTGTAATCGGATCTGTCCCGGCTCTAATATCAGCCAGGACTTGACTGCCGACCTCGATTGCTATGCCAACCAAACGTTGGATGGCGTCAGCAGTCTCGAAGCCGGCTAGAGGTGTTCTAGTTGCGGATGATGGCGCTGGTCTCGGGTGTTGGTATGCTGATCTTTGCTCATGGGTAGAGCGCGCTCTATGCGTAGAGCGGGCTCTATTTTCTGATAGAGCCCTTTCTGGCACTCTACCCATTCTGGCTTTCTTTCCTTCCATGGTAACCTGCGCCTGGGCTATCGTTACCGTTGGGGTTGGGGTAGAGGTTGCTGCCTGAGGAGGAGGCTGCACCTTCTTCTTCTTCTTCCTCCCCCGCTTACTCCTCTGCGAGGTTTGGCGCTCTATGGCGTCATTAGCGGGGGGCTGAAGAGTCGCCCCGGTGGTTGCCTTAGATGTACTCATGGTAGGCACCACCGTTCCTGTGGGTGCCGTGACGGGTGGAGGGGGGGCAGGTTGCCTTCCTTTTCCTCTGATGGTGGTCCACCCGTCTTCCTGAACCACGGCCCTGGGACGACTTTGGGGGACCCTCTTGGGCTCCTCTGGGAGTAGTCCCGGTAGAGTGATCCCCTGCTTCCTTGCAATCCTCCTCAGGACTGGGCAGCGGCGATCGTTAGCGGTGTGGTTCTTGGCGCAATTAGCGCATCGCGGTTCCTCATCTCTACCCCTTGGGCAGTTGCTAGCTATGTGGTCTCCGGCACAGCGAACACACTTCACTGGCCTGAAGCAATTTGTGGAGGCGTGGCCAAAGGCCTGGCAGCGGTGGCACTGTGAAGGGCCCGCTCTTCCTTGCCAGGCCTCTATGACGACTCCTCTCATGAAGAGGAGCTCGTCGACTTGATACAGTTCATTAAGGCGCTCCAGGCTCAGGTGGTCCAGCTGCGCGAAGTAGAGGCACCCAGGTCTGCCTCTACGGGGGGGGGATCCCTTTTACGTACCTAATCGGGAACCCCTTTGCCCTGATAGCCCCCTCTATCGCGGTTGGGTCCGTGCCCACTGGTAGTCCCCGAATGCCCACTTTCGTGGGCCTGTCCTCCTCGGGGGTGTAGCAGTACCAGGACATAGCTGGTACCTTTTCAGTCATCTCTATAAGGTACTTTTGTACCGTCCGGAATTCTTCCGGACTCTGCGGGGTAAATCTTACGCCCTTGCCGAATGGACGAGCATTCGGTGGGTGGCCCAGTTTCTTATTTAGTGCCTCGAAGTGCTTCGTCCAATCCGGCAAGCACTCTGCAACTATTGGCGGGTACCTTTTCGCCGATTCTTCCGGCGGTTTGGGTGTTTCGGCAATCTTTGTCCTTGGTACTGCCGGGGCAGCTACCAGTTGGGCATAGCTGGTGGAAGGCCTCGGACCATCGTCCGATGGCCGGCCTGAAGGGTTGGTGGTAGGCCCGGATGGTGAATGTCCGGCAGATGTGCTAGGTGCTAGGGTTGCATACGTGGTTCACTCCATCCGTATGACCCTTCTCTTCCCTGCTCCAGATCAGCAGCATCCATGCTGGTGTGTTCCGGTGTTCTGGGGTGGTTTTAGTCGGCGATGGCGATTTAGGAGGAGATCTTCTAATCGGCTTTTTCAGTTGGTGGTCCGATTCTCCCTCGGATGAAGAGTAATCCGAGGAGTTGGTGGTACTGTAGCATCGCCTCTTCTCCTGGAGGGATGCTGCTGTTTCTGGAGGCGTATGCCTTCTCTGGGTCTTCTTTGCCCGCTGGGGTTGGGGGAACGGTTCCCGCCCAGTCGTACCTCCAGGTACGATGGGCGAGAGCGCGGTCCTCGGTGCGGGCTTCTTACCCGGGGAGGAGGGTTTCCTTGTTGGGATCTGAGAGTAGGAGGACACTACTCTAGTCCGTTCAGGATCAAATATGTCGCGGTACGCGATAGGACGGTCTAGTACACCAGGACGGTCGGGTGGTCTTCTGGGTTTGGGTTTAGGTGGAGGCTCCCCTTTGTCCTTATCGGACATGTTGAAACCTACCTAAGTCAGTCAGGTATTCTTTTTGGCCCTGTCTAATAATTGCCGACCGATTCGGCACGAAGCGCGACGCGGAAGGCGGAGTATAAGTCGTAATTGGCGTATTCACAAACTGGGCACTGCCTACCCCTTTTGCCAGCAAAAGGGTTGGGGGAAGTGCGACGGTGGCACTTTATGACGCGACTAGGCACAGGATGCTCGGAGCGCATAAAGTGCCCAAGAATCACCTAGGGGCCGGTGACCTCGACGCCTCACGGAATCACGGGACTCGACGTTCGGCGGAGTATGTCGTACCGGCTGTTAATTGCAGCCACTGTATACTGCAAGTAACGCACACCTAGGAGATCCTTGATGAAGTCGATGGATGCAGGTGGCTCAGGACCGTGCTTTGTGGCATTACTTGGGGGAGGCCTATGTTCAGCAGTGGACTTGTGAAGGGCTGTAATGATGATGATGATGTAGAGTATTGCAGCTAGTTTTAGGCAAGCTATTTATATAAAGGTTGTTTGTTGTTTATAAAAAAAAATCCGAAGGAATAAAAATAAACAAGCTATTTTAAAATTCTAAATGGTACTTTGATCTTTCTGATAACAACTAATAGGCGCAGTGAAAATTTAAATCAACTGTGCGTTTTAACGCACATAAATTGAATTTCTTATTAAAAATATCATTATTTTTGTTAATTTAAATAAAAGTATAACTATTAAAAAGCTTGCAAATAGGTGTATCAGGTAACAAAATCATGAGTACTTTGGAACTAGCATTGACGAAGTTGCGAATTTATTTGCTATAGCAATTGTCATCCGATTTAAATTGTTAAGCATCGCTATTTACGTCAGTAACGTTTAGATTACATATAATATTCTGTTATATATTTTGATTTGTAATGTTAATGTTAAATACGCCTAAAATGAAACGTTTACTTTATGTCTGAATCTGAACTAGTATCTACCGATATCCATAAAACGATGTGCATACTCTTAAATGCAGATTTTTTCTATTGTATAAATCGAATAAATATGGTTGTATGTTGTTGTAGCTGGTTGAAAATTACATTAAACAATGAAAAAGTTTTATAATTATATTTGCTACATTCATCGATATATATGTACTATGCACTAGGTATTATGGCATTCCGAACACTCAATACCTATGATCAACTGAACTGTACTGCAATCCGTACACCTGTTATTGTGGCTTCGGTATTCATGCAGTGCGGAGTGGCGCTAATAATAATTTTATATTAAATGAGCACATATGCAAAATAAACAAAATTAAAAAAAATATACCCGATTAACAATACAATCTAAATACACAATAATTATTTATTGTGACAATTTTCGCGCGTTTATATCTACTGCGCAGAGTAGTGCACATTTTTTGTTTGGAATAGCTTCTCTAGTACGTAGTACATATAACTCAATGGGTGCATTTGGCAGAAAAAAGCGCTAGCAAGCGCTTGTAAGCAAAATGGCGATCGTAAGCGGTAAGCGCTGTCAAATCGTAAGTAGCTATTTTCCTCTAGGACACGATGTTAGTTTTAACCGGAGAACCTAACCTAATTTAAATATATGTTTGTAAAGTATTCATATTAAAAACTTACCAATCATGAATTTTTAATAACATGTATATTTTAATTCATGTCAATATATTACTTAAAACTAATATTGCACAAAAAAACTTATAAACTCTAATTCAAAACAAACAAATTAAATAAGCAAAATGGCGGATTGTGTCAGCGCTACTGAAGTAGCAATCGTGTCCTGGCTGAAAACTATTTCAGCGCTTGTAAGCGCTTGCTAGCGCTTTTTTCTGCCAAACGCACCCAATGGTTACATTGCAGTTCGAATTTCCAAAAAAATATAGGTGAAGGTGTGATTTATACGTTACGCCGTAAATGTTCTCCAAGGCTGCTTAACGTCGAGGCAAGATAAATGTATATTACCTGTATAATTTTTAATATCAGGGTTGTATTCTGGAAGTCGTACTCCAGCGAGAAATGTATTTGCCCGACGTTCTCCGATGGCTCCGAGTTGTCGATGTACATGTCCACCAGAGAAATGGAGCGGTTCTGCAGGAACGCCATCTGTCAGTCCAGAGTGGAAACACTTTAAAGTGATGTCACAATGGACTGTTAGGTTATTGTTATTTTCCTATAGTGCACCAGTCGTACTTCGATTGGCATTATTTAAATATATTTGTTGATATGTTGAAATATACCTTCAAAGTAACATATTATCCTATTTTAATAATTAAATCTACTCACTGATATTACATTAAGTAACAAAATGAGCATTATTTTTTACTTAAATAACAAAAAGGTTACTTGCTTTTACTTACTTTATACTTTTTATTACTTTAAATGTATTAATTTCAATATTTATTGCCATTTCAAAAACTAATTCAAGCATATTTCATCACAACATTTTTAGGTGTAAAAATACGATTGTTGCACTACAACTACCGCTAAAATATAAGAAGCTTGTAAATATATTTTGTAAGTTGTAATTGTAGTATATTGTGTAAGCAAATAATTATATAATAATAACAATAAAATATTGAGAACAAAACCAAAATCTGAATTTAAAGAACTAGGATTTACCTCGCATGTAGTGAGATTATTTTAATTAAATCTCGATTTACGTTTTTGAGTATGTCTTCGGGAATTTAAAATAACATTTTATTCAAATTATTGAAATCAGTGGTATTTAATATTTCAAAACTTTCGTCGATAAAATGAGACAGTTGCATTTTTCGGAGCACTGTCGAATCTTCCGAAACTCATTAAAAATCTTTTTAAGAATTGGAAGAAGCTTTATTAGTAACGAGGAGAAAATTTTACATTTTTTTCATCTTTTTATCCTCGTAAGAATCTAGATTATTGATAAAAGAATTTTATAATATACTTAAAAACGCTCTGTGGCCCAAATCAATGACTGGGGAAAGGATCGGTATGTATGTGAGATTTCCACTACGCTTGCAAATCCGGCCAGTAAGAATTCTGATTGTGAAATATTTTCACAACTCAATTCTCAAATTGACAATTAATGATAGTAAACTTCTTTGATTTATGAATTGAAATTCCATGCAGAAATTACAGTAATTTTCATTTCAATAATTATATTTCACCAGAATTTTTTATAAGTAATTTTTACGCGTTTAAATTAAAAAATAACTTACTACTAGTAATACAATATTAGAAAAGTAACGCGAAGTGTGAGATTTAATTAACATTTATTATCTGTAATTTGCAGACAAGATAACTAAAAGAAATAACGCAGCAAGTGCAATCATGAAAATCGTAAGCTGCTTTTCAACTTAAACGTGTAAAATCACACGATATAATTGCAAAAAGTGCAAAAGAATACTTATTTTGTCAGATCTTGGATTTGTTGAAACTTGACTGCAATAAAATTGGATTAATTAAATGAAAGAATTTAAATTGTCAATTATTTTTTATAGCCTCTGTTGAAAAATGAAGAAAAGTTATCAACATGCGACAATCTTTGAATGTTTTGTAATAACAATATTTTTTTTTTGCTAAATATGCAAATTTAAAACGAAATTGCGAATGCTTAAGCTTTTAGCCAAGTACTAATTTGACTAAAGTTCCTTTCTAATATAATATAAAGGTGACTAATGGCTATATTCTGCTAATCATTCAATGATAAACTATATTACTTTTGTTGTTTGCAATTATTTTTAAAGTGCGAAACGGGGATATTCTTTGTTATTTAAAAGATATTTTCCCAGAAATTACTGTGCCTTATTTTTCTAGTTAAGTTCATATTCTCGCATCGCACTTTTGTATTAGGTAAAATTTGTTTATAAAGTGGACTAGTGCTCTACTTTACTAGACTATCTCAACGCAAAATATCTAATTTTCCTATGTAGTTTTGTAAGTGTTGTTAGCGTATGATTAAATTTAAGTCTAACCGAATGTTTTAACAATATTTATATTCCAGCTAAAATTTGGTGGTTGTAATACTAAATACTGTGGTGAACTATACTAAATACCTCTATAAATTATTAAATATCTATATATCTTGCCGTATGTTATAATGGTAATTATTTAAAAAAATAAAATAAAAGCGAAATTAGCTGCAATTAAGCGGGCTTATATTAGAAGCTCCGAAGCAATCGGTAACTTAAAAAGAAAACGAAAAGAATAAATATTAGTGCATTGTAGCGTTGTATTGAAGCCTCTCGCTAGAGATAAAATAATTTTCTTCTATTTTTTCCTTATACAACCTCTTCTACCTACCATATTTGAAGGAGAAAGCATGGAAAGAGAATCCATAGTTTAAAAGAGTTCATAAAAAACAGAAAGAAAACAGAAATAACACAATCACAGCCCGAAAATTCTAAAACTTCAATCTCTACCAAATAACGTGTTATTTAAATTGACACAAAATCAACTTTTTATAAGTGATAAAAGTTTCAACTATTGAACGACGAAATAAAATTTAGAATGAATATGTCCAAGTCAGAACTGCTTTCGTATTTGTTGTTGGACTAACGTCAACACTGTTTAAACTTCGTGAGCATTGAATTTAGCCATTCTAGGAGTTTGTGCGCATTATATCACTTCATATTTATTTAATAACTTCGAGATACGCTCTTGTAAATTATTTATTTATATTACCGATATATATTTTTAAATTTCTTCTCTAAAAACTTAGTAATATTTAGAATATAAAATTAGTAATGTGTATAATATGAATAATTATTTTGATTACATATTTCGTATAAAGAGTATTTTTACTTGTCAGTAACGATTCCACACTTTTCGCTTAAGGTTTTTAAGATTTGCTAACCACAGATATTTCAGGATTTAAATAAAACTAGTTTTTACGAATTTTACCGCATATATTAACTTATGTCACGGACGGACTAGGGACGGGGTGGAGGGGTTAAACGCGATAAAATCCGTAATAACAATAATAATAATATAAGAAATCATTATATTTCAGGATTTGCAATGTTAAAACTTTTTCAAGAATTAAAATTTTTAATATTCAAATTACATTCTTCGCAATGTTCTTGTGTAATGTCAGTTTTAGGTCAAGTTGCGTTATTGTTAAAATGGTGTGCTAAACTAAAGAGCCGAGGATTTGAATTAGATATTTTTTATAGGATAGGGTGACAAACTAGCACACAGTCCACCTGATGGTAAGTGGTTGCTGTGGTCCGTAGACATCTACATCTATCCTCGTTTACAAATCAAAATGCAGTGTGTGTATAGCTACTATTCGGTTCCCTACACTCACCATACGAAACACAGCGACGTTTAGCTACTATTTCGCACTGGTATTCTGTGTGAGCGTGGTCCATCCCCGATCCAGCCGACCGATTCGTGCTACAACTATACTACTAATATAACTGCAGCATGGCTCCACCACGTAAAATATTTTTTTATTGAGTAACAAACGTGCACTAAGTCCACTTGATGGTAAGTGCATACTATGGATCATAGACATCTACGTTTATCTTCGATTAAGAATCAAAATGCAGATGCATTGTCACCCCTGAGGATTAAGTTAGAATGCCTCGTAATCAGTAAAAGGGTCTCCGGTTCTCTACACTCACCATAAAGAAGCATAACAGAATCAAGCTGCTATTTTACGCTGGTCTGCGGGCGATCAGACCCATTCGTACTACAACCATAGTATAGCTCCACCACGTATAAAATCTCAATATTGTCATTCATCAAAAAGCTAAAAAATTTAACTTTGATAAAAAGTAAAAGTAAGCTTCAAACAACTTAAAACGGTAAAATAATTTCCACAAAATAGCTTCTGAAGTCGGTGCTAAGCTAAAGTGTATTGAAGAATAAAAGGATCGACTTCAGAAGCTACAACGTGGAAAATTTATAATTTTATTTCTTTGAAGTCGGCTTTAACTTTTTATTAAAAGTTTTTGACCCTTTTGAATGAATCAAGGAAGGCCTACTACTACTCAATGTAAAACTAAAAATGTCAGTTAAATAGGTATATCAATAACTTCAGCTCCTATTTTTCCTACAGTATTTTAAGCCTTGAACTATGTACCTTAATTAGAATTACATACACATAGAATTACATACATTCATTAAAATAGCGTTTTTATCGTAACATTTTCTACTGAGTAAACCGAATGATATTTCGAACATAAGGTAAACTTTAATAGAAATAAACAATATCATAGATGAAGTGAATAGATTTTCCCGTCGACTTACATAAGCCGTCCTGATTGTTTCTGCCTGGCACATACCACAGCTGACAATAAATAAATAATTCAGTAGCAGTAGCGCCAATAAATGACCACACAGGAGAATATTCGGCTCTATTCACGCAATCCGGCTTTGACGAGTGCCTGAGAGTTGTATTGTGGATTTAATATTAATATACGCATGGGAGTAAATTATGTTATTCTCATATGCGCTTCCATTTTTAACATTACAAATTATAATATACCATGAGAAAATTATAAGATAAAATTAGAAAATAGATCGAATAATATCTACACAATTTCTATTTGTTGTTATTGAAAATGATGTAAGTACTGAAAAAAAATTAATGCAGGTCAGAATTAGAGGAACATTTCGAGCGTTTAGTCTTTGACGGAAAATTATAAAATGTGAGACCATCCAGAAGGAACCACGGGAGGAAATGCGCTTCTACTATTCACAGATAATACGATTCATCTTATACGGCGCGCCTGTGATATCAAAAACGCTGAAAAGGTGATGCTTTACAAATAAATTTTGATAGCGTCTGTAGGAGGATGGTCAAATGGATCTTTTAAGAATACTTTACGATATTCTTTGAAAAGGCTAGAGTAATAGCTCGCTTTCCAATCTTGGAAAACCGGCTGACATAAATATGCAAGTTCAACAATGGGATTTATCGCGAAAGTTGTAGTAGTGGTAGCTTAGAGAAAATTCTCGAGGATGTGAAGCAGCTATAACTACGAAAGGTATCGCAACGAGACACGTTCGGCTACGCGAAGAGTGAACCTGGTGCAGCGATAGGGTGGAAGATTTACCTATCAGCTTACACAAATAAT